CTTCCCATGTAGTGGGTACTCAGCGAACATTGACTAAGTTGGCGTATTGATTTTTGCTTTGTTTGTTGGCTTACCAAGACATAGTTTAGACTGAAAGAGACTTCTCATCATCCAGGCTCCATCTGCTATAAACAGGAGATGAATCTGCTTCTCTCTGTCCAAGCCCAGCTTCTGGCAAAATGGAGCAGCTCATTGCTAAGCCCTCTCCTTGTTTGAAGAGATACTGTAGCTGGGAACTTGACAGATCCCTCTTTCAGTGTGACAGCCTTCAAAATGTCTACCTAACACAATTTAACCTAATCCCCCCAAACACTAGAAGATGGACTGTTAAGAAAAAAAAAATCTCTCCTTAGGAACAGCTGCCTCCCTGTCCTCCCACTCTTCCCCTAATATGAAAAAAAGTGGATTATTTTCTCCCAAAGTTGTAAAACATTCTTTGGAGAATGATTATACCTGTCACAGATGGAATCTTGAAATAAGTTAAATGTTTAGGTTCATATTCGAGGAATTCCCTGGTGAACTTAGTTCTCTGTGCAATTTTGGTAATATTATTTCTAAACTATAGAATAAATGCTATCCACGAGGAGCTAAGTCTGTTTATTGTGAAAAGCAAACAGGAAAAAGGGATCTTTCTCACATTTCTTTTGGATATCCAGAATGTTAAAGTCTCATTAATTAGAATGGTTAAAAACATTTTCCTAAGGGACTTATTTATTAAACTGTTGCTACTACAATGTCCAGTCCCCTATAATGTTGAAGAAATGCGCAGCTCCTCAGAGGAGGCTAGAACAAGAGAAATGAGACCTACTGCTTCTCCAGGGGCTAATATCCCTCTGGTCTAATTCCTCTTTTAACCTGGAATATCAGGACAGCTTCCAAATTTATTTCCTGCTTTCTATTTTCTCCTCACTACTTCGTAAAACCTGATTCTGATGAAGTAATTCTTCTATTTAGAGTCCATTGCATGCCCTTATTATCTACAGGATAAAAAGTATGGTTTTCAAGGCCTATTACAGTATGATCCCTGCCTCTTTTCCCAGGCTCCTCTATTCTCTTTTGTCCTCTAGTTAGGCCTTACTTGGCAGATGCTCTTCCCTCTAATTCAAATGCCCTTCCATGTGTTTGTATGTCAAGAACACTTCTGCCCAGCTTCTAAGATCCAGCTCAAATATCCTTTCACCATGAAGCCTTCCTCACCCTCTTCCCCAGTCCACCTCCCCAGGCATTCCTTTCTGTTATACACTGCAATTTACAGAAATCTCGGTCAGTCTTCGTCATCCTGACTTGCCGTTATCTTTCATTTGTTTCTTTTGTCTTCTAGACTGAGAGGTCAGGTCAGGGATGGACTGAGTCATCTTTGTGTGCCAGGGAGAGCCTGGAACAGCTCCTGACACATATATGACAATGTATATGACAATAAGTATAGGTTTTTCCATGAACTAAGTGAAAGAATGAACTTGTATTACTCAACACTTTCTTAACCACACATTGAATTCCTCTCTTATTCTCTGAATAACTTTGAAGGCAGAGAGGTTTACTTTGCACAAAGGAGAAGTTGGTCATTAACTGATTAATTGGTTGATTTAACAAGGAGTTAACAAGGAGGGAGGGGAAAGGCATAAGGCCTTCGCAGAAAGGCATAAGACTCCATTAGTCTGAAAACTACCAGATCCCACCTATCTTTTATTTCTGATATAGCCAGACCTGCTTTCCGGTGTGAATTCAATACACTGGACCTGTCAAATAAGTATTCCAATTGCTACTACAATTATTGCCTATTGTTAACAACACAGAGTCAAACCACCCCACGGCTATAGGGTGACCTCCTAGAACATTACTCTTGCTACACACAGCTCTCCAGATCAGGAAGGCTATGAAGAGATTTTTCAGAAACACCAACTGAGCATGGAGAATAATCTATTAGAAATCAATTCAAAATCAAATGTGAGGAGAACTTCTCCTGGCTATGACTAAGTTCAAAGGAAGGACATTCAGAATGCCTAAAATCACACTACAATGTTGAACACCACACTGGACTGGCTGGTCTCCCCTCTGGGATTCCAGTGTCACATTTGAATGTTGCAATTTTTCTTAAATATTGTGGTCTGTAGGGGAGGAAACTTACATGACTATATACATTTTGAAACACAGATTTTACTAAAATAATTTTTAACAGAATTTTTACCAAAACCATAACTTAAGGGTATTGCACACACTCAGTATACTAGTATAACATAATAACACCCAACATAAACAGTGATGGGCTAGACTCACTGCTATAGAGTTATTCAGAATGAAAAGCCTGGTATAGCCCTCCTTTTCCTCTCCTTGCCTCTCTGTGCTTCTAGGTCAGTTTCAAAGGGCAGATTGCTAAAGGGAAGTGACTCACTGAACAGAATGAAGAGAGAGAGTCTGACTTAGGGCCTGTGTTCCTGAAGCCAGTTTTCTCAGAAGTGATCCAAGAGATACAAGTCCTCTTAGAGGTCACTAGTGGCCACTGGATTAACTATAAAAAGATATTCTACAAATAATGACTTTGCCTTCCTAGGTTTAGTCCCTTTGTGGGTGACTTGAGGAAAACTTGATATAGTGCCAGAAAACCTGTTTTAGAATAATTAAATAGAAATCAGAAATGCAGAGGGTAACTAGAAGGTAGACCCCCTTGTTCAGATAGTCTGTACCCTGGTGTGTGTTTGTTTGTTTTTCCTGTCTTACACATCTGGGATTTTACTGTCATGATTCCTGAGTTCAGAAACCTTGTCCCCAGAGTACATGGCACTTAGTTCATCTGCATGAAAAATATTAAATGAATGCATATTTATGAAATCTGGAACTTGGTATTAATAATATTATAATGACTCTAGGGTTGATGAGGCATTCAGTTTGCAAGTGATTATATTTGCACATTTATTCTACAAATGGCCATTGGACACTCACACTCCCATGCCAGAGTTTCTAATGAATATCCCAGAGTGTCCCTTGGGTTGTGGACACATATGACTGCCAAATAAACAGTGACTGATTTTTCAAAATAATTTAGTAAAGCTATTCCTCACGTCTGCCTCCAGAAATAAACAGAAAGAGTGATTCCAGATTTTTTCTTAATTGACCTACCTACTCAAGTTCTCTGGCAGTTTTGATGTGTTACTGGCAACATTTTGTCCAGATTCATATTTGCAGGGGCTACGGGTTGTACATATTCCCCCTCAGAAATGAGTGTTCATGGGAATGTTTTCCTGACCTTTTTGGGGTACAGTAAGTTACACATTCCCAATCAATGAACACTTGTAGGTCATGTGTAGTGGGTCAGGTACCATCATAGACACTGTTCCCTGAACTCTTAGAACAACCTGGAAAGTCAGCATTGCTTCCTTTTTGCTTATGGGAAACCAGGATGGAAGCACCTCCACGGCCTGCCCTGGATCCCAAAGTGAGCAAGAAGTGGCAGATGAGGGACGGGAAGCCAGACCTCCTGCCTCCTGGACCAGGTTGTTTTTCACTTTGTGGGAGTCCACGTCCCCCCTAACCCCAGGGAGTTCCTTCTGCTCTTCCTGCCCACTTCCCCAGAACCTGGACTCCCTTCCAGAGGCTTGGAATTCTTTCTTACAGAGGATAATTTTGCTAGATGACCCGATACATCAAGGTGACCTGCCTGATAGTTTGGTGCCTGGAGGCTTTTCAATCTTATTTTCATTCTTAGAGAGAGAAAGAGAGAAGACCCCTAGACTGGGCAGAAAAGAATGAATATCGCCTGCTTGCCTTAGGCCTCCATTTCCTAACCTGGACATTGGTGGATTAGTAAGTCCTGATCAACTCCGTTCTGTGTCTGTCAGAGTGAGGCTCCTAGATGGGAAGAGAGTTCAGAACTTCCAGTTTGCCTTGGCCCCTCAAACTCTATGGCTTGACTGAAAATGTCTTTCTGTTCTGTGAGGCTCTCCCCAAACTTGGATGGTACCTGATGGATGGTACTGGAGACCTCTCTATTTTCACAGTTTGATAACAAATTGTCTAGACATGATAGTCAAACATGGAGTAGTCAAACCCATCTGCAGTTTCTGGGCATGTGTTTTTCCTTTGCTACCAGGAGGACTGTATCAGTCTGGGCTTTCAAGCACTGGTCTTCTTGGTCTTCTTTCAAGAAGGTGAGTTGACGACATGACCCCAGAATGCTTGTGCCCACCTACCCCAGCAAATGGGTGTTTAGAACCCCCCCCCCCACGTGAAACCCAGTACAGAGCATTCTTAGGAGCAAAATAGAATTTTGGTGCCTGAATGCTATTGACAAACAGGGCTCCCTGCTAGATGCCATTCAAGGACACAAGTCTGAATGTCCCTGCCGTATCCCAAGAGAATGGCTTCTGCATCACCAAACCAGCATTGGCACCTGGGCCTTGTCACAGCTGACAGGGCTGAGAGAGGTCAGCTGCTGGCTGCTGCACCCAGAGCAAGTTTCTTGGGTTTAGGCAGAGGCAAGAGGCAGGGAAAGCAGATTGCCTTGCCAGCTCACCAGGCTGCTCTGGAGAGAAATAGAGGGCTTCCATCTCTGTTACTGTCAGAGTCTGGCACCTCTCCCCGGCTCTGAAATTCACAGCGATGGATGGAGGAGGGAGGAGGGAGAAGGAAGGAGGTGCAAGCCAGACAATCAAAACAGCCACAATATTTTGGAAGTGGAATCTTCCAGCTAGAAAAAATTCTCCAAAGCATGAGACTAGGGCTGGAAGAGGCTCCAGCTAACCCAGCACCTGGTTTTATAGAGGAAATAGTTGATAGGTAGAAAGACCAAGTGACTTGCCGGAGGTTATAAGGTCAGTACGTGGCAGAACTGGGACAAAGATCTGGATCTCTGGTGCTTAGAGGGGTGTTTTTGAGTCTCTTCTCTATAGAACCAGAGAGTGGCAGGGGGCCTCCTTTTGTGGACACTCCAGTGGAGACAGAGGATGCTCCCCTGTAGGGAAGGGAGGCCAGGGCCACTGTGCCTGGACCTGGCAGTGTGCTCTTACCTTCCGGGTTGAAACCCCGGGGCGTCAGGCCCTGCAGCTCCACCGTAGGGAGGTCATCTTCCTCAGCATTGGAGTTGTTGGGTGGCACTGCTCTCCTGCCCCCAAAAGTGGCCGTGGAGGTTTCTGACATTCTCAGCTTTATCAAGTCCTGGGGGTGGAAAAACAAACACCAGAAAAGGCAAGTGAGGTCAATTACATTTGAGACAAGGATTTCAAAATAGAGAAACAGACATATCTGTGTGTGATAGCACTCGAGCAACACATTTTGAGTTTCACATAAATAAAAACTGAGAAGCGGAAGCAAAGATTAGTCTAATGATGGAATACAATTCCCCAAGGAGCTCGAAGAGATTTTTGCCTGTGTCAAACATATGGAAAGCAAGAGTTTATTTGAAGAAATGGAAAATCTTAAAGATTTTGAAAAGGAAGATTCCCCCCACCCCTGTACCTTGAAAGGTAACTTCTTTGTAAGGAATGTTTACTGCCATATGCATGCACGGTGCCTCTGCTCAGGTCACAGAAATGTATGCAATTATAAGTTGCTTGTAGAAGAAAATCATACAACATGCCCAGATAAGTGTTTTCTAAAATATTTGTATTTTTAATTGTGTTTAATCAACACTTATTAAAGGCTTCAACCTGCCAAGTTGTGATCCAGGTACTTGAGATACCCTGGAAAACAAAATAGGATTTCTGCCTTGAGACCTTACAGTCTGGTCGAGTAAAGGCAGAACTCACCAAGACTCATGAATAAATCCAGTTGAGGGTGAGGAGGTGGGAATGCTTTGGAAACAGAACCACATGGAAGAGGATAAGGAAATGGACCAGGTTGGGTAGGGGGCACAGAGGCCCAGTGCAGTTTTAAGTAGGGCTATCAATAGACTCACGTGGGGTGAGAGGTGCTAACATTGCCCTTTCTCCACGCTTGCTTTCCCTCCACTGGAGTTTGTGCAGGCACCGAGCCACTGCACACACACCTGTCAGCGCCCACTAAGTACATGTTGACCAACTGATCAAATGAAGGGGGACTTTGTTTCTGGCTCAAAGAAGTTTTCCCCCTTGATCATTTGCATTACCCAGTCATGACTCCTGTGACGTTGCTGTTTTCAAAAACCAAGTACACCCTCACAAGTTGCTATTATAGAGGCCACCAGAGTAGACACTGTTCCAGAAACATGGGCAGTCATGGCAACACACTGGGGACAGGTAAACCACATCTTTGGGTATTGAAGGAGATAGGTGTGGAGTAAACCCCCACAAAAATTAAATGAAATGTGCTCTTTTAATTCCAGAACTGAGCGAAAAGACTTGTGAGTATTATGTGCTTTTGTTGAGGCCCTAAGCAACCTGGGAAAACACGGTGGGGGCCTGCAAGCCAGGCGTAAAAACCTCTTACAGGTAACCCCGACTGTGCAGTCAAGTCAGCCTGTCAGATAAGGGTTGAAACGGCCCATCTGTGCAGAGGACATGACTCAAATGTTGATGTGAGTAAAAAGAAAAACTCCATCGTAATGATGTGAGTAAAATACTCCATCGTAACTGCAGGGTCTCCAAAGCCATACGAAAACAGTCATGAAGCCAGTTTCTCGGAAATTTAATTGAGTACATAGAAGAGAAAGGTTTTACTCCTCTGTTTATCCTAACCTTTAACTTTAACAATAGAAGTCAGATAATGTATTGTTTTTTTAGATCTTCCAAGAGGAATAGCCTGAGGCTAGTTTAAGATGGTTGTCTTACTTTCCCGGACTTTCTTTCTTTAGGCTAATCTTATGATGGCTATCTCACTTTCCCGAACTTTCTTTCTTTTCTATAGTTTAAGATAAGAATTAAGGATGTTAGGATTATTGATCAATGTGGTGTACGTGACTAGCTCCCAATAAAAGGGAGTAGAAAATAAAAACATTTTGCTACATGCCACCTAAGAGTGTGTAGTTGTTTCTTGCTTTTAAACAATTCTAGGAGGGAGCTTGCACCCGCGGCCAAGCCGTCCTTCTCTCCCCGCGAGAAAGAACATCACCCAACAGACAGGAGTGTTTGAAAGGATACCATTTGAATAGATACCCATAAGTATTCATACACATATTTACAGAGTTCACCGGGGAGCAGAGGGGAGAAAGGAAGGAGGAGAGAAAAAAAAGGTTTAAAGGGGAGAGAAGGCAGGAAAAAGCAATAGCCTGGTGAGAAATAGGAAGGGTAGGCTGTGGGACCTCCAGAAGCACCTCCCTCTGGGCGTTTGGGGGAGTGGAAGGGGATCAAGTTCAGCGCTGCATTGAGCTCAGCCAAGGTGATGTACAGATGTGGGGAGTTAAGTCCTGTCTCTAGTCCTCTAAATTTTTGTGTCCCTGCTCTATAGTTTGATCCTCCTAGAAAAGGGGGACTGTCCTGGGGGAGCACTCCCAACTCCCTATCCCCATTCGGTGGCCTTTTAAGCAAGCAGTGCCTTCAAGAGAGCTTCCTTGAGCACTGGAGCGAGTAGTCCAGCTCAGAAGTCGGAGTAGGAAGGTGCAGAGTTGGGGACAAAGAGAGTGAATTGGACAAGCAGGGCTGCCTCTAACCTGAGCCCCCAAGACCTCTCAGCAGCTTCCTGAGGGCTGGCGGCTGACACCGCTGCAGGAGGCTGCAGCGCACTGCCGGGGAATGGGGCTGCTTACCTGGTGTGCGCCTTGAACTCCCTGCGGGGGGGCCCCTGACCAGGCTTCGCTGTATGCCTTGCTACTTCCTCCAAGGCACGCAGGAAAAGCGACAAGAAAGTTAGCTCTTAAGTAACTTCCTAAGAGCCCTCCCTCTCCCTCCTTGTCCCACAGGGTTTCCTCCTCCCCCTCTTGACAGCTGGAGTAAGCAGAGGAGCTTTGAGGACTTTTCATTTATTTCTGCCATCCTGGTCTGTTCCTGGGACATGTGCCACCAGCTCCCCCCTCCTCCTCTTCCTCCCAGTCTACCATTCCTGCGTCTCCCTCCTCCATGCCCACACCTTGCTCTGTCTCCCCCCTCCTCTACTGGATGTTGGGGGCACCAAGTGAATGGCCCCACAGTGCCAGGCAGTCCCCACCCCAGTCCTCTGGTCCAAAAGCTGGAAGGATCTCCCTCACAAAGGAATGCTTTTGCCATGCAGGTCGGCTGATGTGGCTTGGCAGAAGGGAAGTCTGCCCTCCCAGACAGGTCATACGGACAGTTGTGGCCATGCATCAAGCAGGAGCAATGTGTCCCTCCTGAGCAAACAAGGCTGAGGGGCATGGTCTGCAGTCATGAGTCATCCGTGGAGCCTCAGCCACAGCCTGACCACTAGCCTTCCTGCAGGCATGGGCTGCCTGGCCCCAGGGAAAATGAGTAAATACCTTTATGGGTGCCACACAAATTAAAAAGTGGCACTTTGTTTTTTTTCTCTGAAAACCATTTTGGTATATCTTCAAAAATTAGAGAGAAAGAAAAGAAAATTTCCCTCCTAAAATTTTCCTTCTTTTTTCCTGTGTCTTTGCGTCTGTAAATACTATTTCTAATCATAACTATTTTTAACCTTCTTTACTGTCTTCAGATTTCTATCCCTGCCACTTAACCTCCTAATGTCATAGAGATAAAAGGAGGGGAGGAAGATACCATTGGTTAGGAAGTATCTTGGTTTTCTGCTGCTCAATTTATGAAATTGCCTGCAAACTTGTCTATATATTCCTGATTTTTTCCTGTTTCTAAAGTGGGAAAGTTCCCTCCTCCTGCTGTTTCTTTAAACCAAGTGTGTCCCCTTTGCCCAATTCCACATCGCTGCTTTCTCCAGGGCTTTGCAGCTCCTCTCTACTCTTCCTCCGCTGTCTTCAGCATCTGCGCTCTAGCAAGGCTTCCCCTCTGCACTCGTACAATTTCAGGTCAAGTTTCTTCAGTATTTTTAAAAGCCCTCCTCCATCCCCGTTCCCCTAGCCTTGCATCTCCTTTCTCCTCCCCTTCACCACTGAGCTTCTGCCATCTGGCGTCCACCCCCATCATTCTTCTACTGCAGGCCAAGGTCTCTGATGCCTTGTGCTCAAGCCAAAGGGCACGATTCAATTCTCACTGAAGTACTGCACTCTGTTGTCCACTCTCTTTGAAGATCTTTCCCCTTGGCCTTGGGTCGCTAAACGGTCTGCAGTTTGCTCCAGGGCAGCACAATTTCCCTGGATCATCTTAGCCACTCCCACGGTTTTCCATGTCAATTTATATCCTGATGCCTCCCAAATCTAGAGTTCTAGCCAGCATCTTTTCCAGAGCTTTAGATTCCTCTAACTGCCCACTGGCCGTCTTCACTTGCCACATCCCACTGGCACCTCACACTGATGTCTAAAATGAGATAGATCCCTTTCCCTGAAAGGGTCCATCTCAGGAGCTCTGTCAGTAAAACCATCACCTCGCTCTAAGCTGAAATCAAGTTCTTTGCACACAGCCTTTTCATGGCAAATTCTCTTTGCTTTTAGGATAAATTTCAAACCTAAACCAACCAGGTCCTGTACAAGCTAAAACTTCCTTCACTCTCCAGCCCCACCTCATTTATTCTGGCCCCTGCCTGGTGTCCCTGTCCCTGCCTGCCCCCTGCCCCAGACATGGTGAACTCATTCTGTACCTTCTGTCAGAAACATAATTCTCCCTCCTCTTCTTCTGTGGCTATAAGACCATTTCTTGTCCACTCTCCATATTTCAGCCTATGTTGCTCAGATATGCTGCAGGAAGTCTGCCTTGTGATAGTGCCCCCTGTGTTGTGTAGTCACCTTCTGTTTCCTTGGCTGTACCTGCACTAGGCTACACAGGGCTGGGACTGTGAAAGGCTGCTGACCACCTAACTGCCCCAGAGCCATCTTCTTTGCTGAGAGCATGTGGGGTTTGGGAACAAGTAGCCATGCTTGTTCTCTTCCGATGAGGTTGCGCACCAGATCCCCTTGGGATTCTTGGTTGAGTTGAACCTTCAGAACAGGCTTGTCACCCTCACACCCATTACCATAGAGTCACTTTGGGTCTGAGATTCTTTAATGACGTCTTAATGAATATGCACATGCATTGGTTAGTTTCCTATCTCCCCAAACCCACCATCCTGATAGCATTATTAAATGCAATGGCTTTCCATGTGCTTAAGAGACAGAGTCAATAGAAGTGTGTCTGAGGCACCAAGCCCTAGCATGTGGCCGGAATCCA